CCTCCCTCTGGCTCCCCCTCCCTCTGGCTCCTCCTCCCTCTGGCTCCTCCTCCCTATGGCTCCCCCTCCCTCTGGCTCCCCCTCCCTCAGGCTCCTCCGCTGATCTTCTGCCCGCCCACAGTCGGCGGGAAAGAAGGCGGACTAATCGGTTGATACAAACGAAAGGAAGTGACTGTGCTGGGAAACCACTTCCAGCTGCTGAATAATATATATATATATCTATATATATCTTGTGTTATCTGGGGGGAAATATTTATTAAATATATTAGATATATTGTTTAATGGCAACAAATCATTCACTGAAGACATTTTGCAGTTATAAGTCCTAACTTATACATGTCAAAGTGATGATGAAAAAGATAAAAGGATCATTTGATAAACCTGAGTTGGTACAGATAGATGCTGCCTTTGTTATCCAGGAGTTTTAGTCACTTTAAGTTGTTCTGTTATTGTTCTCCGTGTGTTTGGGGAACATTTGAAGTAGGAATACTGTCGACTCAACGGCCTTGTTTGGATCTTGTCGAGATGTTTTTGGCCCTTGAGGTTCTACACACAGTGCAGTGTTTGCTTATATGTGCGTCAGTCGAAGGATTAATGATGCATGTGTTGAGAGGGGACAAAAGAATAAGGGAAGTAAATGATATCAGGACAATTATCACAAATTCATATTTTATACTTGAAAACGGGAATTTAATGAAGACTTGTAGTTCTATTTATACATTTTACACAAAACTTTGATGAATCCCCAAAGATGCTGAGTGTATTTCTGTTCCGTATTTTCTCTCTGTGTTCTAATGAATGAAACGTTCACAGAAATGCTTCTATAAAGTGAAGGCTTGTTGCTTCCCCTGCGATGGTAGTTGCCAGCTGTTCCGTGCTGGTTATGACTTGTATTCACTTTGATGGCAACTGGGATGTTCTCGCTCCGCTAAACCAAAAAAAAGGGATAGACAGTACAGCACGACTTATTCTATCAAAACAAGCAAGACCAGCCAATACTGCCGCGTCCCGGTCGGAAGCACTGGAATTGAGCCCGACTCCGGGGTCGAGCACGGCGCACCAAGAGTACGGCACGAGAAACCAAAACCCGCAAAGGTTTTTCTCTTCAGTTGTCTTTTCTTTTGGACTAAAGAGGACATGTTTGCTCAAAAAGTAGAGGAGCTGCGCTGTCCTTGAAAAGAGACTTGATGCTTATTATTGCTTCAGTGTATTTAACAGAATTTTGTCAGTATGATTCGTGTTTTATTGTCGGACACTTAAAAAAGAAAAAGTGCTCTGGGGCTTTTTATTTATTTTTTCTGAAGCTGTATCAGTATCTCCATCTACTGTTGGTTATACAGAATGCAGATGTGTTCTTGAATTGTGACATCGCATCGCACGAGGGAAATGTTTGACATGCAGTGAGATGACGACGCTGTGCCCAGACACAATGGACTGAGTCGTTCCCTTGTCAGGGATCTATAAAAGGTATCGCCACACTAACGGCTGTCTGTCGAGGCCTAAAGACTACTGTAATCATCTCAACCACAGCTGACTCATACATACAGTATATATTACTTTTGAAACCCGTGGTCGCACCGTTAACGCTCGCTGGTGTGCACACGCTTTTCTGCTCCGAAGTGTTCAGCCATCCACCTCCACTCCTCACAGGCACTCCCGACCCTTTAAGACGTGCTTTCACTGAGACACGTGACCAACTCAACCGGTGCTTCGACACACCTGACTGTAATTCTGTTCTCTTTTTGTCATTCAAAAAGAGAAGGTGGGGAAATAACCGTTACGATTTGCCACTCTCGTGAATTTACCTTTTTTTTGTATTTTCAAATGAGGCTTTTGCGCTCGTGTGCTATGCCACCTTGGCCACACGTCAAGATCTGTCTGTGTGTGTGTGTGTGTGTGTGTGTGTGTGTGTGTGTGTGTGTCTGTCTGTCTGTCTGTGTGTGTGTGTGTGTGTGTGTGTGTGGGTGTGTGTGTGTGTGTGT